ATTAATTATTCATCTTTAATTCATTTAGTAAATATTATATAAGATTATTAATAAATTATCTTTAATTTAATATTTTAAAAATATAGTTATTTATAAAGATATCATTAAAATTACAGATATTAATTTTTTAAAAGTTAAAAAATATTTTACATAAACTTTTTGATAAAATACCTATATAAAATTATAAATACTTGTTAATTAAAATTTTTAATATACTATACATTTATATATTAATAGTTTTAGTTATTAATGTGTATTAATATAAAAATTTTTAATATATTTCTTCTATTTAAAAATAAATTTAATAATAATCAAGACTTTATTATTTTTTACTATTATTTTTTAAAAAGTTTATAAAATTACTATGGTAAATATACTTGAAAATTTGAAAAATTTTATAAAAGTGATTAAAAATTAGAACTTAAATAAGATCAATTATTTAGAAAAAATTAATAATAAAATAGCTAAAAATAAATATGTTTATTAAATTTGTTTTTATAATTTATATTATTTATTAAATTTATAAATATAAATATTCACAAGCTTATTAATTTTAATTTAATTATATAATTATAATAATAAATTATAAAAAATATTAGAATATTATATATTTATTTTATTATTTTAATTTTTTTATTTTAAATAAGTAAAATATATATACAAAAAGAAGTAGTTTTTTATTTTTATAAATCAATTTTACAGTAAATATTGAATATATTTCAATTTAGTATTTTAAAACTATATTTTTTATATATAATTAATTAATATTTTAATTTAATAAAAAAAAAAATTAGTAATCATTTAAATTTTTTAAAAATTTTTGAATAAAAATTTTAATAATTTATTATATAATATATTTTACATATATTTTAACTATTTTTGTTTATTTTTTATTATTCTTTTTCTCTTTTTAATTAAAAAAAATATAATAAGAATATTTTCTTTATCATTCACATTTGACTTTTAAATAAATTTAAAAATTTGATTAATTATGTATTAATTAATTATTAACTTTTTTTTTATTTTATATTATCTTTTAGAATAATAATTTATAAAAAATAGATAATCAACTATTTTTTAAAAAATAATAAAATATATTTAAATATATTAGAACAAAATTTAAAATAATCTAGTAATTATCATTATAAGTAAATAGTCTTCTGTATAAGTTATAATAAATTTTTATATATGAAAGAGTTTCTAGAAAAATCAGGTTCTAAGAAATTTTTGACTTAAATTAAGAGTTTAATACATTTTAATCTAATAATATCAAAAATTAAAATGTAATAAAAATCTCAATTTTGTTAAAAAATTTCCAGAAATTGATTTTTCTAGCAATCAATATTAATATCTAAATATTTAATATTCAATTATGAATTTCATTATAAATATGCATTTATTTTATATATAATTATTCTAATTAATTTATTTGAAATATTTTAAAATATATAATAGTAAACATTATTTTCTCTGATGTATTTATTAAATTTTAAAAAAATCATTTAGTAATTTATTAATATACTAATAAATAATATACTTATATTTATTTACTTATATTATTTATTTATATAATCTTATATAATATAATATTTATTGATATTAGATTATAATTCAACAAATAAAATATTTTTTTACTAATTTCTTTCAATATATTTTCAATAATATGAAGAATAAATACTTATACTAAAATACTTAAACTATATACTATAAATACTTTAAACTTTTTAAATAATAATAATAAAGTTACTACAATATCTTTTAAGATTAACAATAAAAATATAAACTAAAAAAATACTAACATTCTGTAATGAAATATTATCTCAATTTAATCAAATTCATAATATAATTAAAAACATTCTTTTAAATAAAATTTTACTTCTATTAAAAAATAACTGAAGATATTATAATAACTATTTTAGTAAAAATAAAATAGATGATATTTTAAAAAAAGTTAATAATTATTATTTAATCATTAACTAAAAATAATATTTATACTTATATTAAAATCTCTTCTTTCTCAAATAATATTTCTAATCTTATTTTTTATTTACTTTAAAAAGAATAAGCAAAAACAAATTTTTAGATATAATAACTATAGTTATTATAATCATTTTTGATAGCTAATTAATAATATAGTTAAGTTTATCTATTAAAACTTTAGTAATAATACTAGTAACAATTCTACTATCAACTATTACTATTTGAGCTATTATTAAAATATTTTTTATAACTATAAAAATAAAAAATTCTTTATATATTTTTACTTTTTAGATTAATTTATATATACAATTAAAAAAAATACAAAAAAATTTATTACAATCCTATTTTTTTTTAATAGCTGATTCTACAACAAAAACAAAGAATTAATACTAAAAAAATAAATTTTGTAAATTTTTTTTTTGAAAGTTAATGATATATTTCTTTTGTTAAATCTAAAATCATATAAAATTTCTTTTAATTATATAGCATAATTACAAATTACTTTTATAATATATAAATTATTTAATAGTATTAAAGTATTTTTATGATAGTATTTTAGTTTTTCTTTATCTTTATTAGATTTTATTATTAGAATTAAGCCTTACTGACCTTGATAAATTAATTTAAAATAAAACTGATTAATCTGAATTGAAAATTTTAAATTAATCTAAACTATTCAAAATTTTAAAATTTAATAATGTTTAAATATTATTATAAAATATTTTTAAAATCATTGTTAATTCAAAAATAAGAATAATAAATGGAACTAATTACATATTGATTTAATTTTAAGCAAAATTAATATAGTTTATTATACTTCAAACTAATAGTAATAATTCAAAATTAATATTTATATCATTTAGTTATTAAATAAACATTATTATTATTATCTTAGTGTTATTAAAATATTATTATAATATTAATTTAATATTATTATAATATCATCTAATTAATCAATATTATAATGATTTTATTACTTGCATTTATTAAATATAGTTTAAGTTTTATACTTTTCGGTATATGTTTTTTAATATTAATTTCTTTACTATCATATCAAATTTATAAGAAATTAATGGTGAATCTTTAAATTCTTCTCTTATTGTAGTTTGAAATAATAATCAGTCTTAAAATCTACACTGACTGTTGCTTCATCCATTATAATTAATTTAGAAAGTCGTACTATCTTGCAAATGCTATTAAATGTTGATCTTGTGAAAATTACTTCCATTCTCATTGACAGGTGAATCAAGTGTCAACGTTTCTCGTTTGTTTTGTTATGATACCAATTCACTTGTCACGGATGATTTTTCATTATCTGCATCTTCTTGAATGATTGAACTCCTCGAAGTGAATTTCATAATGTTGCGTCATAATACTCTTGAATGGATTAAATTGCTCCTTAATAAATAAAATTTTTTAATTTTTTTCCTTTTTTCGTTTTCTTCCAAGTCATACTTAACCTTTTGTTAAACAAAATGGGATCTTGCGGAATAATATATTTTTTCTTTTTTCTTTTTCTTTTTTTTTTTTTTAAAAAAAAAAAAATAATAAAAAGTTGAATTTTCTTTCATAAGAATAATTAGCTAATTGATAATTCATAATGTTCAATGCTACATACCAGTTTTTCCAACATCACCAACTTTTCCGAATGTGACTATATCAAATGTCCTTTTAAGACGGGTGGAAGTTCAAATCTACTTCTCCTTAACGGGCCATTCTGGTGGTGGTCTATGATCTGGTTCAGCTTCAACATCCAGTGAATCTGAATAAAGTACAAGTCATTCTATAGCATTCATATTCGCTTCCTGATAGATATAATAAGGAAAGTTTTTAAAAAAAAAGGTTAAAAATATTTTATTTGAATAGATAAAAGTAAACATTCTGATACATCAGTTGAAATCACCAGTGACTTGAAGTGCTTAATACCAAACCAAGAATAATAAGGCTTACATTATATCTTCCAAAAATAGAAAATAAACCTGTAAAAATACTAATGCATTTGCATTGCTTCAAGCCGAATACCCAACCAACATTGGATAATGATTATTAGAAGGAAATATGCCCGATTTTCAATATCAACAAATTGCCTCATTCATTCTAACAATTAAAAATCTATTTAGTGAATTGTTTCCTAATCTACAACAAAAATATCATTTCAAATCTTAAAACCAGTCTTGTTTACGATAAACTCGAATCGTAGGTATGACTGATAAAGAGACACAAAAAGGGAGTTAAGATCTAGAAAATTAAAATTGGTTTTTAATAAGAAAAACTAAAAAAAAATTTCTCTTAATTATGCTTAACCTTACGTTTCAATTCACAAGAGCAGCAAATAATATAATGTCAAAAACGGAACCAAAGGAATAAGGAAGTATACAAATACAATACTGATTAAAATAAATGTTCCAAGCACAACCGTAGAGTGCTAAGGAACATGCGATTAAGTGTCAGAAGTACATTAACGCATACATTCTTCATCGTGCATTTAAGTGCTCAGATTTTCGTGATGCGATTATTTTTAACATATTTTCCCCAAAGGCATATTTTCAAAACCATTCAGTAAAATATATAAAAGGTGATGTTCCACTTTTATCCTCCTTGTGCAAATATAATATAAGCAAAATCAAGTAAAAAATCGAACGAAGTTCTAATAAAATTCAAACCTACCATTATTTGCATCATCGATATTTACAATCAAACGAACATGAATATTCCGCAAATAATAATAAGGTAGGATGGTTTATTACTCGGTTAGTTTCTTGAAAAATCATATTCACCGTGAAAAACGTCTCGATGTTTTATCACAACATAATTTCATCATCCCTGTTTCGGAGTAAAAAGTTCAAAAAAAAAAAAAATTGGTTTTTCATCCGATCGATCTGAATTTTCGACGGTGGCTCAGCGGATCTCCAGATTCTACCGGGTTCAGGTGTATTTTTATTGGTCTAAATAAAAAAAAAAAGTTTTTTTTTTTCTAAAGTAAAATTTTTATCTCCTTTTGGGCGAAACATTTTTTTATAATGGAAATTACTAAATTTAAAAAAGATCTTGTAAAATTAACGAATAACAATGTTATCGAAATTTTGAAAAGACAGGAACTAAATCTAGACGAAAATGATTTAGAAATATTGAAAAAATCAAAAATATCCGGAGCTAGTTTGTTGTCATTCCAAAATGAAGATTTTTATAAAGATGGTTTGGCGACAGGTCCAACACTAGCAATTATGAATTTCATACATAAATTAAAAAAAGGTATTTAATTTAGGGTGACATTTACAAATGATCATATTATTTATTTGATTTTAATAAATTTTAAATTAATGATTTTAATATATAATTATAGAAAAAACTGAAGTTACTGTTGAATTTTTATAACAAATAATTAAAACAAATCATGAGGTAGGGTATATTTATTGTTATCTTAAGATGATTGAGATGCGGACAATTAAGACTTTTCTGATAAATTTAATATGATGAAAATAATTATTTATTGGCTTACTACACTATCTTGTATATTTATTTATATTACAAGGGAGTTAGTCGTTAGACTGCATGTGGTGCCAATTAATTTTTCTAATTTTATTTTTGTTAAATAATGTTTATATTTATTAACAATAAATTTTTTATACTAATTTATAGAATTATGAGAAGTATGAAATATTTATGAAATGATGAATGGAAATTTAAAACCTTTTGTCGATGAAATTTTAAAATATCGCGAAAGTAAAGCACTAAGATCTTATCGAGAATATAATGAAAACATTTTTCATACGGCTATTGAGGTGCTATTAAGAAATTTTTCTATAAGATATATTTCTGAATTACAAATAATTACGAAATATAAAGAAAAATCGCGAAATAGCGAGATTACTTATGGTTTTACAGATAATTTAGGACAAGATTGTGTTGTAATTGAATTAAAATTATTTAATTTAATTGGACTTATTCCGGAAATTTGTATACATGTCAATGGGTGACACATCCAGAACACAAGTCTTTAGAAGATTTTGATAAAAAGTTACAGAAGGAATCAGAGGAATTATTATTAGAAAAAATTATATTTATTGGTGTAAAGATGAACGAAAATATAAATCAATTAAGATAAGTTGTATCATTGAAAGTGGATATAAACAATTATGCAAATACATTAAGGTAATCTGTAAAAGTAAAGTTTATGATGGAGTTGATGTATTAGATAATAGAATAACAAGTGAAGCAGGGTTAAGTTATATAAGAGGATATTTGATAGCTTCCTTTGGAACGCAACGAGTTATAGTAAAATTTATAATTAAAACTTCAAATTATGAATATGAATGTCTAGATAATGAATACCTAGAAAATTCATGGAAGGAATTTAAAGGAAAATTATCAATATTTTATAAAAAATTAAAATGTTTTTTTTTGGTGGGATTTTTATTGAGTTATAGTAAAATTTATAATTAAAACTTCAAATAAATATGAATGTCTAGATAATGAATACTTAGAAAATCATGAAAGGAATTTAAAGGAAAATTATCAATATTTTATAAAAAATTAAAGTTTTTTTTTTTGGTGGGATTTTTATTTCAGAAATTAGATTTATTTGAAGTTTTTTTCTTTGTAATAACTATAATAATGATGACAATTTGTAAAAAATTTTTATGGTTCAAAAAAATCTTTCATATTAAAATATCAATTATTTGCTATATAAAAAATAAATTGAATATGAAATACTAAAACATTTAAAAAATATAAAAATATAAAATTAAAATGTTCCTGTCATATATTTTATTAAGAAAATCTTTTTTTATATTGTATAAATCTAATTATTTCTCTTCTATCATTTTTATTAAGGCATCAATAATAACACAATTGTTAAGTTCATTTTAAATTTTTGTAATACACGAAATAAAATCCACAAAATGTCTAAGGAAAATAATTTGATTTAGTTTAAAATGTTACTTGAAATTTAAGTTCAATTAATACTTACCATTAACATAGAAATTTTGTATAATTTTTCATCAATATAAATTATTTTGTTTGAATTTATAATAATTAATAGAACAAATGCTGATAAAATAACTTAATTAAATTAATTACTTTATTGAAATAATCCAATTATGATAATTAGTTATACCTGATGCGATTAATATGCTATCAACTATCAACAAAATAATTATAATTGTCGTTGAAAGAATATAAATCAAGTTTTCATTAATGAAATTAAAACCTATCAAATTTAGGTTTTTCACTATTTCATTCAATATATTGTTAAATTCATTCAAAATAATTTTAGTTATTTTATTCTTAAAATTATATAATTCAGGTTTAATTTCTTCAACAACTTATATTACTACCAATTCATTTATTTTTCCAGACTAAAAAATATAAACTTCTTGTTATAAATTAATACTATCATATTACTTACATTTTCATATTCTTTTTCTTGGTTAATAATATTTTGAAATAATTTTAAAAAAAAATTCTTGATTTTCTTCTGATCGAATCAATTGTTTATGAAAGAATTCAAATAAACTTCAAATTTCTGATAAGATAACTGTATTAAACATCACACATAAAAGAAGATGAATTTTTTTCTTAAAAGGTCAAAAAAAATTCTTAATAAAACATATTATAATATTTGATGAAAAATTTTTTAATATTAGAAATGGGATCCTATAAACTGTAATTCTGTAGCTAAAACTTCAGTTATTACGTGACATTATTCTTTAAACATATGCAAATATGTCAAATTATCTTTATTATTTTTAATCATATTTATAGGCGAAAATGGTTAAAAACTTGTGATAGATTCAGTTAATATTTATTAATTTTTTGTGTTTATATGATCGCACAAATAAAAAAAAAATATCCAATTATGTATTTTATGATATAATCTTTTTATTAAGCTTTTCCATATCATAATTAGAATATTTTTTATACAATGATATGGTTTTATTCTTAATTAAATTTTCAAAGCACTTGTCGAAGTTTGATCTTTCGTATATATTAAAATAATCTAAAGAACTCCAAGATTAATTTATAGATTAATACAGACTTTATTATTTTCAAATTTATTGACTTTTCAAAGATGTGATTTCTTCTTTTCAACTCTTTTGTTTCTTTATAAAAGTCAAACAATTTTTTTTGCATTAATATCATTTGAATAATAATAATATTATTAATTATAGATTTGACTTCTTCAAGTTCCTTTAATTATTAAATTTTTTAAATTAAAATTTATTTGAGCTTTTGAATTTATAAATTAAATTATTACCTTATATTCTTTTTTATCAATATTAGAATTATTCTGATTAATATCAAGAGTCATTTTTATCAACTTTTAGGTATTAATGAAAGAGTTACGCTATGAGCCCTTATTAGCAGAATTGTTTTATTTCTATTTATAATAAAGAAAAATGCATCAGAAGTTATAGTCAAAACCTTTGTGTATTTTAAAATGTGCAGTAAATTTAGACTCTTCAGATCTAGTTTTTTATAGGCACTTGTAAGATGAGTGAGACTATCATTTGGATAATCCTCTGAAAGATTTTACATCTCTATTTCACGATTTTATGATTTAACATATATCTATCTATATGAATTACACAAGGTACTTTTATTTAGTACATAAATTTATAACATTTACATTTTTTTATTAATTATTTATTAATGTTCTTTTCAATTATTACCTTTATTGAATATAAACTCTTGATAAGCAATAAACTAATTTTAATATTTTCTAATCCTATATAAATAACAAATAAGGTAATCAGATATAATTAAACACTTATAATAAACTTTTCATAGTTTTTATTAATTATTAAATATTTTATCTTATAGGAAATACTGAGCTATTACATTATTTCAAGTGAAAACGATTACAATTTTATGATAATTATGATAAAATATCTGATTGTTAAATGTCATATATTAAGTAATTTATGGATAAATCAAATTTATTCACTCTATTAACTTTGATTGAAGTATATATTTTATAAAAGATTTAATATTATGTAAACTATTAAAACAGTAATTACATTGTTAAATAAAGACTTTACATCATCTCTTTTCCTTAACTTTGCTAAACTATTTCAAGAAGACTATCACCACCTTTTTCTGGTATCATTGCTAAGTTAAAAAAAAAATTTTCTTCTGTTAGCCTAATGCCTTTTTCACTTGTATCATAGAAGCAATTTTGATGCTCTTAGCAACAAAGACTTTATTTTCTCTTGCTTCTTCACTTTCATTTTAATTTTCCAAATAAGATACTCCAGACTATATTGAGCAATATTAATATAGGTTGTCATATGACTTAACATCATTAAGTCAACATGCATCAGATGACTAATGCTAGTCAAACCTTCTTAAAACATTATAAGATCATTCACAAAATAGGCCTATAATTTAGGCATCTGATGCAAATCGTCATCTGAAACACAACATATACTATATATATATATATTACACTAAAATAATAAAAAAAATTTCCTCTCAGATTGTATAATTTATAAACATTATGGTATAGCTGCACTAATGACAGAAATTAATCGTCTAAGTTTCACTTGCAAATATTTCTCTGAATATGATAGAGATGAAAAATATCTATTATAGTGTCTTTTCTTTTTAACTACATAATAGATAAAAAGAAACAGGATTACTTAAAGTCTTTATTCTCTACGACTGACGTATTCTCATTTTTACAAACAATTTATAAATAATACTGAATACTCATTCTTATCGCTAAACTTATTTAAAATAAAATTTACTGGTAAGTAAGTCATAATAAAATTAGTCAACGCAAACTGGCTTGATTATTGATACCGTTATATCAAATTTGTGAATACTTTTATTTTCATTTCTACTTCTAATCTACTAAAGTTATTCTTAATACATCAATTTTTTTATGACACGTACTAACGTAGTTACATTTATTATAAATAGCATTAGTTGACATGATTGTCTTGATTTGTGATGCTCTTATTTAAGTATTTGATACTATTCTAAGTCAAATAGATGATTTGAAACCTCTTATTGATGGGTTACCTATTCAAAAATTGCCTATATAACTTTACGAAAAGTGAAAATTTTCTCAATTTGTAGAATTTATCAAAACAAATCATAATGAATGTGAAAATATTCTAGCAAGACATATTTTCTGTTGTCTAGTTAATAATATATTTAAAGAGTTCTTAAGAAAATATGATACACTGAAAAATAGATAGTTTGATCAGAATCTCACTTCAGAATTTTGTGAGAGTCTTGGTAGAGAAGTACTTATAATCAGAGCAGCAAAGACTGGAGAACAACAATGATAGGTAATAAATTAGCAGGTTTTATGTTAGAAGTACAGGTGCTTTTATTTAAACGTGAAGAGAATATCAAAGTTGATAATTTTCTGTTACTATACGTAAACTTGAAGATAAATTTAATATGTTAGATTCAGTATTAGCAAATACCTTAAAATGATCTTGAATTGACTTCAAATATCTCATTTAACATCATTTTATATAAATTTCAAGTCAAATTTCAAAGATTATTTAAAAAATAGTAAATGAACTTATAATTTCATCACTGATTAATATGATCATATTACTTATTAATGAGGATGTTCAACTATCTAAATAAAGAAAGGTGGATACCCAAAAAATTAGGAACTGAAAAACTTATTTGAAACGCGAGGTCAAGCTTTTTAATTTGAAGTCAATAAGATCATACAATAGCACACAATTTGGTTACATAAAAATAGTTATGTTCATCATGACATTCAGCTTCTAAATATTGTTTTTGTTCTTAGTATTAGAGATTATAGATATAATCTTATCAATTTTGAGCATAGTAGTGAAGGTAGATTAGAAATATTTAAATATTTAAAGGATTAGGATGATACAACGCTTACGAAAAATAATAAGTATATGATACAATCTAATCAGTTTGGAGATACTTAGAAATCTTAATTTGTTGCATTCAGAAGTTAGAAGAAATTTTAGATGGTTTGATAAATAAATAAATTAGCTCAAAGAATGTATTTAATTAATGTAAATCATATTTATCTTCCTTCTAATTGCTGATGCAGAAATCTTTCGTAGCTTTCTATTATGATAAGATATATTCTAAGTAAAATGGAGTGAAAAGTCAACATATTTATATGTACAGGCATAAAGCTATATACCTACAACTTCATAATATATTTTTTCTTTAATATTTGAATTATTTATAACATCAGTCAAATAAAATTTCATTATATTTTTGTCAATCATTTATATGATAAATATACATTAGGTAGTATATAAATTATTATTTAATAAGATTAAACTATAATATAATTCGTAAAAAATAAATCATTCATAATTTAAAAAATTTAGTAAATATAATAATGTTCATTATGCAAGAAAAAAAATCAAATTAAAAATCTGAGTCAATTTTTTAGTGATAAACTATTATTTTTCATAATAAAATAAAATAAATAACCTTTTGCCTTTTTGCTATTATTCTTTTTTATTAAAATGATTAAGATTTGCAGTATAGCAAGATATTCACAAGAAATTAAAAAATTTATAAAGATAAAGAGAAAATAAACATAAAATAGTGTAAGTAAAAAGTAATCATTTTTTATATATGAGGCTTATTTAAATTTCTACTAAAATACTATTCTGTATTATTGATATCGATGGAACATAAATATAAAAATTATCGAAGAATTTTTCAGTAATGCTGGTCAGACATTACAATAATGGACATCTGACATATGAAGTATAATAATTATTCGACTTCTGTGAGCTAAACACATTTCTTTAACATTCTATGCAAAAAGTATGTCTTCAGATTGAAATTAGGGATGTGAATAGTTCAAAAAAAGATACTCAGATTCTAAAACTGATTTAAATTCTAAGCTTATATGCTCTATTTTTACTTTATTTGAAGCTTTTTAGGGATACCAAAATGGAACTTAAAGAACCTGTTAAATAGAAATTTTATTGTCAAATCCTTAGTTTAACTTGATGGTCTTTTTTATAGCATTCAAAAAATAATTATTCATAAAGTTAACCTTTAAACTGATGTCTGGATTATCAAAATTAACAAATGAAGAATCAAATTTATTTGATATAATTCCTTATATCAGTCCAAAATGCTTAATATATGAAGAAAAATAATAAAACTCATAGAAGATAAATATGGGAGATTTTATGGTCATCTTCCTATTTATGTTAAAGGGAATGATAATGTAGAGGTTACAGAAAAAAAATCATTTCTAATAAATCTAAAGATTATGTAAAAATTTATACTGGATTAGTAAAAATATAATTCAAATTTTAATTACGTTATCTATGAAAAATTTTTTTTATTAGAATTTTAGAATAATGAACCAGATAATCCCTAACTATGAATCAACTAGATCAATCATTACAGAACGAATAATGATATAATTTACTATGGAGAGTTATAAAATTTTATTTAAATAAAAATAAATTTAATATTATTCATTTTATGTTTATTAACTACTATTATGAAAAAGGTAATGAAATATAGTTGCGAGGCATAACCCTAAACCCATTTTAGCAAAAGTCAAAACTTTTCAGAAATTATTTTGACAGTTTCGATGAGTTTCGATGGGTTTCGACAGTTTCAATGAGTTTCGACAGATTTTGATGGGTTTCGATGAGTCTCGAAAGTATCAACATTTTCGATAACAACTTTGCAAAATTGACGGTTTAACAGGTTTATTATGAATATAAAAATGATTTTTTTTTTTGAATTTTTTGCCTTTTATTTTAAATTAGAACAAAGTTTTCAAAATAATATACTATTATCAAACAAGGTTCAAATTGGAAGTACTGATACTTGCTGAAGAATTAGAAAAAATCACCTTATGAAGAAGATGATAATAGAGGTTGGAACTGGGTTTATTTTTATATCTGGATTTATTTATATTTAAAAATCAGGTCTGAAATATCGAATCTCTATTTCAAACTGTGCAGATCAAATAAAGTTTTTTAAAAGCTTAATAAATTACACACCCTACGGATATCTGAGTTTAAATCAGAATGTTGAATCCAGTTCTAACCTTTAGATGATTTTTTAAATGAAAGTTTATGGATGAAGTAGAAGAAAATATGAAAAATAACTGGACTTGATGATCAACATGTAAATTTTTTGATTTTTTTTTTTTATCTATAAATATATTATATGATATTTTAAAAGAAAGTGATCTTTGCTATATATGATTTGCTCACTCGTTATACAAAATAATAAATTTTTTAAATTCAAAAATTTGTATTTTATTTTCAGAAGGTTTTGATAGGTTTTACCATCCGTCGAAACTTTTGCCACCTGTCGAAATTTTCACGATTTTGCCTTTAATAAAAATATTTGGGCAAAACGTTTTGACAGGTTTCGATTTCAATGCCTGTTGAAACCTCTGGGTTTTGCCCAGCAACCTTATAATGAAAGATCTATTATAGTAAGTAAATTTCTATCTAAAACCTGTAGATATTTATCTCTAAGTAAGAAGATATTATAAAATATCTAACTATGTCAAAAGGAATATGTGTTTATTTAATACTTGGTAAAAATTAAAAAGGTTATTGGACAATTCAGAATTTATTGAACAAATAGAATACAAGGCAATCATAATTTTTAAGGTTTTTTTTTACCTATTGGTATATAAAATTATCAAAAAAAAAATAAAAATAAAAATAAAATGATAAATTCGATCTGGTATAATTAAAACATTTCCTAACGAAAATCTAGTTAATCAATTAATTTAAAAAATAAACTGAATAAATTAACAAATTTGGTCATAAAATTCATAAAATCGTATATTAAAATTCTGTTAATACACCTAAATTTAATTATTATAATAAATCTATTTTTATAATTGTTAGAATAGCAAAGCTGCAAATTTAAAATATTAAAATAATAAAACATATACTCTTATATAATTTAACCCTACTTCACTTGTTATTCTATCATCTGATACACCAACTCCATCATATATATAACATCAAACCTTAAAACTTTGAAAATTTGGGATTTGAGGTAAGTCATAATGGAATAATTGTTAGTTCGTTTTTTATATTAAAATAATAATAATAATAATAACAATAATATTTACCAACCTTTGTAGGATTATTAAGATTCTGACCCTTCCTGTATATTTAAATTCGCTTATGTTGTGGATCGATTGTCCAACCAAGCTGCCCCGTGTTTTTATGTCAAGAATTCTTCTTTAAATCTCTTATCTACTTTCTTTAATTTTGAATTAGATACATCATCTTTGATATCATTAACTTTGACAAGAAATATAGGAGTGAAGGAGCAGGATGGTACAAAATCTAAACCTTTAGTTGTAATCAGTTCGGACGTAAGCCCAAAGGAGAATTTTGTTAGTACATTTTTTTTAATTTAAAAAGAAAAACTAATATTAATTTACCTTTATATGAAACTTAAAAACCTTGGAATCTTAGACAGGATAAGTTCTAATGGTTAATTTTAATTTTTTTTTAATATTTAAAAATAACTTACATTAAGGATAAAATATATTGCGAAGTTGTTGATGAACATGATTTACCTGAATCAAGTACTTTCTTTGAACTAATTTTCTTATTAATCAAATTGTCTAAAATTTCTTTCCACCTCCGATTTTAAAATATTAAGATTCCTAAACGAACTTAGTAAATCATATGATCTGTAACGTAATTTTAATAGCAAACCACCCATCTTTCCAAATTGATACAAATCAGATTGTACCGTATACTCATTATTCTTCGTGAGCGTTGCATTGTCCCAATCCTTCAAATGTTCAGATATTTCTAATCCACCTTCACTACCATGCTCAAAATCAATGAGAACATATCTATAATCTCTGACACCAGGAACAAAGACAATGTTTGGAAGCCGTATGTCACGATAAACATAACCGTTTTTATGCAACCAAAGTTAATCTAGTAAGCACATTATGTGCCATTGTACGAACAACTTCGTGCTCACTCCTCAGTCGAAAAGCTTGGCCTCGCGTTTCAAAAACAACACTGTCATTCAGTTCATAATTTTTGGGCTTCCGCCTTCTTTTTTTGGATAAGCCCTGGATGACCTTTTGCATAGCTGTGCATTCTCTTTAAAAAATCAACACAATCATTCACGTCTCCTTCATATGGAAGATATTCCAATTAGACCATTTTCTCTACCGAGTCATCAAAAAATGTAATCATCGATTTGCCTAATATCAGCCATTTCCCAATAGTAGAAGTTAGAACCGGTTCATTTTTAACCGGTTAAAATGAATTTAATTCTGGCCGAATCCGGCCAGATTTAAGATTATTATTATTGCTAAATATTGTCTAACTCCGGCCAAATTTATAGTACTGGCCTAAGTTAATTTTTGGCCGGTTCCAACCTCTACCCAATAGGGACGATCATTCCGGTAATTATGCGTGCAATATTGATGACTGTACAGAAGATGGAAACACGGTTTTGGATGTCTTTGATGTCAAATCGATTTGAAAGTGGAATCAAGTATTTTGATTCTCTTAAGAGCGAGTTTGAGATATTGGAGATCCACACGGTCATATGCTTTTGATAAATCTTGGAGTATCATATTTCGTTGTTGTGTTCATTGGTTTAGCTGATTTGCGTTTGGCGATCCATTGATTGAATAAAAACGCAAATACGATCCTGCTTCGGCGTAACATATCGTAAATTAGAGATTGGAACCGGTTAACGAATATTTTGACCGGTTAAAGAATTTTTGCCGGTTCCAACCTCTATCATAAATTTATGTCTCCAAAATTCAAAGAATCAAATTATCTTCAAGACCACGCACAGCAACTGGAAAATCAACATCCTCTTCGCCTTTTAAAAGAAGCACACCGTTCGTCCAACATAAAAAGTCTGGTCTTTTATTACCTATCGTTGTCGTTTCCTGGTCTTCGCTGCTCCGATCCATTTCAATTGGAAGCACTCCCACACCAATACTATCGCGAAAAATCTGGAGCGGGATTCTGATCAAACTATCTATTTCCCAGTGTATCATATTTTCTGATGTGTCATTTATTTCTGCTTTTCAAAGCATCACAGATATAGGTTAAAGAATCTTTGACCGGTTCCAACCTCTAATCACAGATCAAGACAGTCATTTCCACTTGCATCTCATCGTAACTCCGTGCTGATGCTACTTAGAAAAGAAGTACAATAAATGTAATTTCAGTACGCGAAGTATTAAGAAGTTAAAAGCAGGAAAGAAAAATAGAAGCCAGGTCGCGTTCACTCGCGTTGACTAATCTTATTACGACTCACTTACCGGAAACGGGTTAATCTACAACGTGTTTTTTTGGGAGAGTTTGATGATAAGAAGCACGTCGGGAACAAAACATGAACTTCTCTACTCCTTGAGGATTTCCTTGAGATCGAAAGGTCATTATCCGTTTTAACTGAGAATTTAAAAGGTCTGTCATGACTTCGCTTGCAATGATGTAAGATCTATTTAAGATACGTCGAGTCAATATTGCTCGTGCAATAGGCCTAGCGTCTTCCATAGAACCAAGAATATCTCACGGTATTAGCAAGACAACAAAAGAGTGATGACCAAGAATTTTTGCAGATTAAGGATTGAGGTGGTATATATAAGAAATCGAGTGTCGCACAGATTGAGCACAACTGGTTTATTGGTCAAAATAATTTGAATCATGTGGAAGCTAAAAATGCTACGCCACAGTCATTAGGAGGACTTCACGTGATTGGCTGATCGAATAAAGGAGCATCCTTAATAAGGGTGGGAGATAGTTCAAGAATAGGGATGTTAAATTGCTCAGCTTAAGTTCGGCTCAATACAGCTTTAAGCTAAGCTTTTTTGAGAAAGTAAGCTTCTGAGCGATTGAGCTTACTATTTTATTTTATAATAAATCTTTATCGGATTTTATTGAGTATTTTTATTATATTTAATTTTTTGTCAATATTATTTATGATGGAAAATATATTGTTGAATCAATGCTATTTTAAAATAGTTAAATAATTTTAAATTTTAAATACATATTTGTTGAAATTTTATTGATTATTCGAATAATTTTTAATAATATCTGCTTCATAGAGCTATTATGATCAAACGCGCTATATATGTATATACTTTTTTAAGCTCAAATTAACAAACGTGTACTCAAAGCACGTTTAAAAGAATATTAAAGCTAGTTGAAAAAAGCTTGTGCTTATACTCAGTTTAAATATGCTTTGTTGAAGCAATTTAACATCCCTATTCAAGAATTTATAAAAATTATTTTTTTTAACATTAAGTCGTTATTTCAACTTTTAATTACTAAAATTGCAGTCAATACGAACTTATACAACTTATACAGGGGTTTTTTATTTTAATTTTTGTGCAACATTAAATTAAGTAAAACAAAAAAAATATTTAAACCATAACATATATATTCTTTTTTTTTTTATTGAATTAGTTAATATTAATTTTAATAACTAGAAAGAATGTTTGATTTTGAAACATTTGAACTATTCTTTAAATATTAAATAGTACCGTACCGTGTAACTTAAATAACGCTTGTTCGCGTTGCCTAACATTTATCATCCGTATCCTACGACTTATTTATTTATTTTCCATATAATATCGATTCCTTCGAAAAAATTTCTTATTCTTTAGTTAGTTCTGGCCTTCAAAGTAGGTATCTAATACGATCATCAAAATTACTGTGCCACAACGCGGAATTTTTTTTAAAAAAATAATAATAATAATAATAATTTTAATGTTTTCGTTTATATTGTTTATATTTCAAAGACAAAAAAGCTAGAACTACATCCATGCGTTTGTCTTTTGATAAGAAAGGTAATCAACATTTATTTGTGTATTTATCGAATGATATTGGTTAATTAAGAACTTGAACTTGAACTATGATTGAATCGTTCGAATATTAAGTATTATTCATGCTCAATTGTAATTATGATTTGTTATTTTTTTTTTTTAGATAATCTATAAATCAGGTCTTGATTCTCATTTTTTAAATTGATCTCATAGGAAAACTTAATAAATTTTTGTAATAAAATTTATTTTATTTTTTGTAGTTTAATAAATTTTTCCATCAGATTTAAAACAAAGCAAAAGAAAATGAGATGCGTAAAAAGAAGCATCAAAAACATGAAAAATAAACCAGGATATTTCTGCTTTGTTTTGAAAGGAATATGCTGATAATTTAAAATCTTGAATCTTTATACTATCTTTTAGCTTAAATAGATTCTAAAGCTAAAACTTTGTGATTTATTATTTCTATACTAGCGTAACGGTAATTAATTTCTATAAAAGTTTATTATAAATTTTTCAATGGAATTGTCGAAAATATTTATTGTTTGTTGTAACAAGTTACGAATAAAAAATAAAAAAAAAACTTTTTTAACAAATGTTACACAAAACCATCCGAAACACCGGATCTACATTCGATCTTTTACGGAAGTTCATTAATTTATATTAGCCAAGGTGATACACATTAATTGGGGATTCCTAAATCTTGTATAAATTTATAAAATTAAATTATTTTGAGATGGTTAACCATTTAATGGTAAACAAAAGGTTTGATGATTTAGTACAACAAAGTGGGGTTTCAAGGCCATAAATGTTTTAGTCAAAGTTTGGCACCTTTTGATTCGTTTATATCGTTTGTGTCGTTTTTTTTAAATTGTACGACAAACATTTCATTATTGATTATATATACTTTGACGAAAAATATGATGTATATATAACTTTTCTTCCACAGCTCACTACCCTTTATTAGGAAGGAATATGAGTTCAGATACAACATCCGAATTCGTCATTGAAATTATACAAGACTTTAACTGGTATAGATTAACTGAAGAACAGGAAGAATTGCTCGACGAATTAATACCAAATGAAGAAGCAAAAAGACGATTTAAAAAGCATGGATTGTGTAGGTTGTGTAGACAACCTAATACAGGTCACTATTGGTGTAATTCCTGTAATTCAAAATATTTTCAACAAGATTTCAACAATTGGACGAGTGGAAATAAAGAGATTGATGAATTCATACAACAGAGTCAATTAAATGCAACCAGTAGTCATGGGGTATTAGAATGGATACCTTTTGACAGGATTCAAAATGTTGAATATATTGCAAGCGGTGGGTTTAGTAAGGTGTTTAAAGCGATTTGGATCGATGGATGTATTTTATGTAGGGATAAGGAAAGTGATCAATGGCAAAGATTTCCTTATAAAGAGATTGCTTTAAAAATTTTACAAAATTCACAAAATATCACGAAAGATTTTTTTCAAGAGGTAATTTTATTTATTTATTTATTTTTTTAAAGGAATTAAATTAATATTTTTTTTTTTAAAAAAAAAAAAAATGATAGATCACGTTTACTAAACAATTTGCTGACTCATATATTGTTCAATGTTATGGAATCTCTCAAGATCCGAAAACAAAAAATTTTATTATCATAATGGAATATATGATAGAAGGAAATATTAGAGAACATTCCAAAAATTTAAATACAGGTGGTTATGGATTAAACATATGGGTTAAATTAGATAAGGTTTGCTATATTACACTGGGATTAAAAGAAATTCACGATAAGGGATTCATTCATAAGGATTTTCATTCAGGCAATATATTATGTGGTATAAAATATTACATTTCGGATTTAGGATTATGCAAACCGGTTGATGACAAGGTTGAAGAAAAGAATATCTATGGAGTTTTACCTTACGTTGCACCCGAGGTTCTAAGGGGAGAGACTTATACCAAGGCCGCTGATATTTATTCATTTGGAATGATTTTATATGAACTAATTACAGAATTACCACCATTTCATGATATTCTTCATAATGAAATTCTTGCTATAAAAATTTGTAACGGACTTCGACCCAAATTTATTGATATCAAGGTTCCTCCCCTAATCAGTCAATTGATTGACCGATGCTTAGACGCGAATCCGTTAAAACGACCAACGGCCAATGAATTAAATGACCTTTTTGATAGATGGTACCCATTCGATGTCGAATATCGTAAACAATGTGATGAGGCAGAAGAATATAATAAATCTCTTCTTAAACCACGTTCACCTGCAGCACATCCACAAGCAATTTACACGAGCAGACGATTAGTTGTGGATGATCTTCCTGAACCACAAAATTCTAAAGAATTCAACGATCAATATTATAATGGTTCAGGTAAATAATATTTATATGTTTTATCATTCTATTATTAGAATTTTTAAATAATTTTTAAAAATTTTTAGTATCCTTGGAATTTGATTTTACAAAGCTTAAATTTGAAGGTATTTATTATTGTCATCACTTTACCTATTTGTAAGTTATAATAAGCTTATTGAAATATTTTATAAAATACAAAGATAACGAACAAGATTGATTGATTGATTAAATGTGGTAGTTATATTTCTTTGTTTATTAACATTTATATTCTTTTCCGAAATAACTTTGTGAAGTTTGATTAAAGTCTGATGATGATGGTGCATTTTGTCATTCAATAAAATTTTATAACGTTTTTATAAAAAAACTTATTGGCTCAATTTAATTTCTTTTTTCTTTTTAAAAAAAAAAAAAATTTCAACCCCCTTATCTTCCAAATTTGAAACTTTCCGTTATTTGAACTCGCACGTATTGCCATTACTGGAATATAATTTTACATGAACATTTTACTAGAGTGGAGACAAAAGGCGTTTTGTAAAGGTTAATAAAAAAAAAAAAATATTGTTCAAAACTTACATGTTCAAACGAAAATATACAAGAAAAAAAATTCAAGATAAAAACTCTGAAAATAGATAATTTGTGGCGCAGCCAACTTATATTCATTCTCGAGGTTAAACAACATGAACATGGACCAAGAAGAGCTGTTCAGCTTCAAAATTCGTATTCTCGGAATCGTATGATGTTCATTATCATCATTATTTGATATATTATAAGATTTCAATTCGGTAAAATTCATATTGAACGATCAAATCGAATCATCTGCATCAAACTAAATCTAATTGGTCCGAATTAATAAGATTACACCAGTCCGATACCACATGTCGTTTCATCTGCCGTAGATATCGTAAACCTTTTTATTTTATGCACTTATTTGGGTAGAATATGCGATAATCTCACACAAATCCAGACCTTCCATTGTTTATTTGTTATTTAATAAGTTAAAGACTTCAAAAAAAAAAAAAAAAAAAAAAGGAAATATGAAAATCTCCCCTATTTAATTCGTATTATTGAATTAATGATTGGTGTCACAAATTCGAACATTTATAGAAAAGTAGTAATTAAAGAGGGTGATTGGTGAAATAATGAGCAAACAAATATTTATTCACATGTATATAATTGTAAATTTTGAGATCAATCTCTATTACAACAAATAAACAGATAAATTATTAATTTATTAAATTATATAATAAACAACAAAAAGTATCGGCATGATATTTCTTCAATTACTTTTTACACAACATAACGCTTTAAACAAATTAATTTACTTTTTCATATTACACGATTACTTATAAATACCCTTTTGTTTCAATGAAGGATCAATAATTTTCAATTAAAAGTTTTTAAAGGTCTCTTATTCACAATATATAATAATTTTACCTTTTCTTTATGGATTCGAATAATCATTCCATACAAGGATTTTGGGGTCAACCGACTTCGACAGGTACAAAATAATTCATTTTATATTAAATCATTACCTTGCATTATCAACGTTAACCCTTTTTTTCCTGCGTTTTAAAAAATTAACTAAAAAATAAATTAGTCGGTAAGTTAGACATTTCTCAATTCTTTCTTTCCTTTTTTTTTTTCTCACTTTCTCTTTGAATTTCGCTAATAAAAATTTCATAATATAAATAGATTGGTGTGAAAAGAATTATGATTTTACATACTACATAGCCGAATTTTTTAACACAATATCATCATTTTGTATGGTTTGTGCTGGTGTATTCGGTGTAATGATGCACTATAAAGGTTTCGAATTACGTTATCCTATAGCATTTGCTTCGTAAGTATCCCTCAAAAATTGGTGAATGGCATCGTCAAATGAATTTTTTCATTCATTTATCGCTAACCTTAATCATTCACCCCTTTTAGGATCATAGTTGTTGGAATAGGATCGATATTATTTCATGGAACGTTATTATTCTCATTACAATTATTTGACGAAATACCAATGGTGTTTTGCGTGTTAACGTTATTATATAGTGTGGTTGAAAATAAACCGCAAAAAAGGTTTGGCAATTGGTTTCCCATTCTATTGATTTGTTGGGGTATTGGTATAATTTATGTTATGATACATTCTGGTAAAGAACATGATAACGAATTAATGCAATCAATAGAATTTTATGTATTCCAAGGTAGTAATCCTTCGTTAAAACTGCAACATTGGGAAAGGATGACGTGACTAAATTAATCTTTTTCTTTCCCTTTACAGGCACGTTTGTTGCTATGTCAATATTCGTTTATGCGCATACGATAATGATTGTATTAAATCCTGATGGTGAACCTTCCATCACCAGACTTTGGTTATTAGGAAGCGCTGTTTTCTCATTAGGTTATATTGGTTGGCATATTGATTTACGCTTTTGTTCTGTCGTACATCAATTACCTTTCGCTCTGCCAAATCCTCAATTACACGCGTGGTGGTATGTATCTTGATGGTGACGATTGTCGAAAGTTGATATATTTTATTAACAATTTAACTCCACTCTGTGATAGGCACTTGATGGCATCTTATGGATCCTACTTATTATGCGTATTCGTTGCTTATGACAGAGCAAAAGTATTAGGTAAAAAACCCACTCTTAAATGGATGTTTAACGCTTTACCATTTGTTCAATTATCGTCATTTGAATCACGTGATGAAAAGAGTTCATTGAAGAACAAGAAGGAACTACCATATGACGAGCAGTCTGATGAAAAAACTCCTTTGATAAGGAAATTTTAGACAGATTAGAAGATCATTAAATATATTTATAGAAAAACCATGTATTAAAAGTATATCACGCAAATAAATTAATCATATTATATAGAATTTACATAGATGTCATTAATACTTGAGACAATTAGATTTCATATCATATAAAAACCGAATAAATACAAATCTTTGAATTTTGAATAATTCTTCAAATCCAAAAATGATTTCAAATAAGCTAATTTCCTTTTGATTATTATCTTGGTTGCCATGATGCTTTAAAATTTATCTAATATAAATTTAATTTATTATTTTTCTTTTAATACTAACTTTTTGCGATCATCATAACCAAGTTAACCTGATAAAAAATTCATTAAAAATTCATTATAAATTATAATACAGTTAATAGAAATAAAATTTTAAATTTAGATTTAAATTTATATAAATAAACATAGAAAATGTATGAAATCCTTGGGATTAGAGTTACGCTCTCCAGATCGCCTAAACGGAATCAAGCTCAATGATCCGGATTTTGTAACTAAAATTGAATTATAAATCGTTCATAATAAAAAAAAAAATAACAAATATAAAATATTATTTATATATAATAACAAATGAACAAAAGATTAAAAAAAAAAATCTTTACGTTACATTATTTTCTCTTTTTTTTGCATTATCTAATTTTCATAAAACTTCTAATCTATTTTATTTTCTAGTTCTTTAATAGATTTCCCAATTCATAATATGATATTACTTGATGAATGTTAAACAAAAAAAATTAAGAAATAAATTACAAATTAATTTTTATTTTTCGATATTACTTGGTTACTATTTATATTATTTATCATTCTTTAATATAATTAGATAAATTATTAGTGCGTTTATAATGTCATGTGGATCACATGATTTCAATTTATCACCAGTAATACTACTACGCCAAATCTAATGAAGCCATTTCATGATAATGATAAAAATAGTCTTCTGATGATTCAGTTGTATCTGCTAAAAAACTAACATCATCATTCTGATGCATTCAATGTCAATTCTTTAGTTATAAGTCCTACATTTATATACTAATTACTGATATACCAAATGAGTCGTCAAAATGTTAGTGTTACATGAATTCTTAATGCATTAGCTTCAGTTTCAATTGCTTTCAAGAGCAGCAATAATATCTAAATTATCACTATATAATTAAATTTCAATTTGAAATAAATTGTTCCTCACTTTGAATTCAGGTCTATTACATCTAAACTAGTATTAACTAATTTTGGAGATTAGGTGTAATTTGTCATACATAGAGTTCCGGACGAGTCAAGTTAACTCACGAGTCATATAAGCCGAGTCGAGTTTAAATCAAATTGAATTTATATTTTTTTAACTCGATGATTTGCGAGTCAAATCAAATTCGAGTCGAGTTAAATATTTAACTTGACTCGATTTAAACTCGACTCAAACTTGACTTGACTCGAGTTGACTTGAAATAGTATTATTAATAAATTAATATTTTAAAACTATAAAAATTATACATTATAAT